TATTGGAAAGTCGAATATACAGATAGGAACATCTTCTGGCTGCTGATTTTCTCCCCAAGTGGCCGTAATGACCAGAGCTGAGCCTATCTGAAGTCAGGAGCCAGGAGCTTCTTCCGGGTCTCCCACGCGGGTGCAGGGTCCCAAAGCTTTGGGCCGTCCTTGACTGCTTTCCCAGGCCACAGGCAGGGAGCTGGATGGGAATTGGGGCTGCCGGGATTAGAACCGGCGCCCATATGGGATCCTGGGCGTGCAAGGCGAGGACCTTAACCACTGCGCCACCGCGCCGGGCCCTGGATTCTTTTTTAAAGTCTGTTGTAATCACACTATGTTATGTGTGCCACAAACTGGCTTTAATAAAAGTAATACTGTAGAGAGGAAAACGAGCATTCACAAAATTAAAGGTGAGTCGGTGCCGTGGCCTAGCAGCTAAAGTCCTCTGTTTGAAAGCACTGGGAGTCCCATATGGGCGCCGGTTCTAATCCCGACACCCCACTTACCATCCAGCTCCCTGCTTGTGGCCTGGGAAAGCAGTCGAGGACGACCCTGCACCCACGTGGGAGACCTGGAAGGGCTCCTGGCTCCTGACTTTGGATTGGCACAGCACTGGCTGTTGTGGTCACTTGGGGAGTGAATGATTAGATGGAAGATATTTCTCTGTCTCTCCTCCTGTCTATATATATCTTAGTTTGCAATAAAAGTAAACAAACACAAAATTAAAGGTGTGACAAACATTTATAACTTCAATATTTCTGTGGAGTGTTGCAGACCTTTTATAGGCACCTGATTAACAGGTGCTTCTCAATAGTCTCTTCTTTAACGTTTATTATTTTTGCTTGAAAGGAAGATTTACAGAAACGGGGAGAGATGGAGAGATCCTCCATCAGCTGGTGCACTCCTTAAATGGCCATAACAGATGGAGCTGTGCCAATCTGAAACCAGGAGCCAGGAGTTTCCCCCAGGTGTCTCATGTGGGTGCAAGGGCCCAAGCGCTTGAGCCATCCTCCTGCTTTACTGTTCTGTAATCAGGGAGCTCGGCTGGGAGTGGAGCCTGTGGGATACTGGCACTGTGTGCTGGAGATCAGCCTGTTGACCCACTGCGCTGGTCCTTCTGATGAGCTGTAACACAAATGGAACATTAGAAATGTTGCCACTTTCCCTGAAGTTAGTCATACCGAAAACCCTCTGCACGTGCCCTCGTGAGTCTACGTGATACGGGAAAGAAGTTTGTGTTAAGAGTTGAAAGGCAGGATGGCTGGGGCAGGGAGAGGAGGTTGACCTCGCTGTGTTGCCTGAGGTCAGCTCTTGGGAGCTGACTGCATTTACACGTGTAGGAGGAGACATGGCGGAAGTTCTCCTTGCGCCAGTTAAAGGAGCGAGAGAGGCTCCGGTTTGGTGATAAGGCGATGTGTTGACGAGAGAAGGCTGCAAATGAGCTGTGATGCTTGGGTTGGCTCTGGACTCTGGATGCATGAATCCCGGTGGACAGAGAAGGCATTCTGGACAGAGGAGATGCTGCAGCATGGAGAGGCAGGAGCCGGTGGGGCTGTGTATGTAACGGGATACAGTTTGAAGTGATGCTAATTCCTAGCCAAGAGGTTTGGCTTGAATTCGTCGAAGGAATGTGAATCAGGAGACTGAGAGACTTAGCCTTGCCAGGTGTTCTGCAGCCACTGGGTGCTGACTGAGCGGCGGTGGAGCAGAGCCTGGCGGCCATGAAAGTTGGTACTCTGCACTGGCATTGGAGCTGTCTCTGAAAACCTGAGCTCCATTTGCTTTCTGGAAAACTTTTCGATTTGGTAAATGATGGTGTCAGCTGCCACCTACTGGTCAGGTTGTGTCTCGCATACACTGTGCCTACTTGGGGAATCTCTCAGCTCTGAAACTTGGCAGCTGTTTGCCTCCAGCTGCAAGTGACTGAGCTGGGGTTTGGACCCCAGGTGTATGTTGTTCAGAGCGCCTCCTAGTGGTGTGGCTCAGCTGCCCTCTGTGGCTTCTCTGGTGTCACACTGCCTGGGAACGTTAGTGAGCGGTTGCCCCGCTGGGTGTGTTCAGATGTTTCTCCTCTACTCGGCTCCCCATTCTCTGACAGCTTTGGCTCTTCCAGATCTGGGGAGATCTCGAGCGTCACATGGCATGGCCCCGTACTTACCCAGTGTGTGCTTTCTGTGTAGCGGGGTGGTTTCCTGGCTTTACCTGTCTGTCCATAAGCAAGCTCACAATGGTGAAATGGAGGACTGAGCAAAAAAGGAGTTGTGGCCCTGGGAGGGTTCTTTGATTGCTGAGGGAGCATCCCCTTCCGCCCCCCAAGAAAAAAACCAAGGGAAAAGAGAACAGCTTCTGCCATTGGTTTTGGCCCTGACCTCCGACACCAGCAGTCATGTTCACGGTCATGAAATTTGTGAGAATCTGGTCTTGTGGTGCTGAGGTTCAGCTCGGCGTCCATGGACCCCATGTGTGGTCAGGTCCTCCGAGTTGCCCTCGTTTAAACCCGCCCTGCTTCCAGAGCCATCAGCCGTCTGACTCATTTGCGTTCTTTTTGGAAATTTTTGGTTTTTTTGTGCCCCCCCATACACATCCTTCCATCTTCATTTATTCCTCGATTTGCTTTCTCACTTCCAACTCGATTCCTGCTCCAGTTCAAGGAAATGAGCGGATGGGGCTTGCGTCTGGCCTGTGGCTAGAGCTTTGCTGTTGCAGTGTGCTGTGCGCACAGCCCAGCGGTGCTGGGACCCCAGCAGGCCGTGCGGGGCTGTCCTCCTGCGCGCCTCGCCATGGTCCGAGTGCAAGGGCATGTGGTCCTCAGGCCTGGGTGCTGGCTCAGGCTGTCATGTTTTAGCGGCAATTATCTGTGTGTCCCAGTTTCGTACCCTGTTACGTGCCAGGCCGCTGCGGCCTTGTGCTGGGTATGAAAACTTGATGTCAGCAAAGGCACAGTGCTAAGAAAGCCACACTTACGGATTTCCCAGAGGAGTTCAGGTTATGGAATTGTTGGTTCATCAGTTTCTAGAAAAAGATCTCTGTGTGTTTATAAAAAATGTGCATTGCACACGCGAGAAAGATCTCTGGGTTATGTTGGAATATTAATGTTGAGGAACAACGGTGTTACAGCTGGATTTCTTTTGTTCTCATCTCTAGTTTAGGATAGATATGTAGAAATCAAATTGAATGCAAGTCAAAGTTTCTATTTTAAATTTTCTACAGTGTCCATATATTTCTCATATAATAAATCTTAAAAAGTCATGTTGGGCATGGCGCAGTAGCCTAGCAGCTGAAGTCCTCTCCTTAAACACGCCGGGATCCCATATGGGTGCCGATTCTAATCCCAGCAGCTCTACTTCCCATCCAGCTCCCTGCTTGTGGCTGGGGAAGCAGTTGAGGATGGCCCAAAGCCTTGGGACCCTGCACCCGCATAGGAGACCTGGAGGAAGTTCCTGGCTCCTGGCTTCAGATTGGCGCAGCACTGGCTGTGGCGATCACTTGGGGAGTGAACCATAGGACGGAAGATCTTCCTCTCTGTCTTTCCTTCTCTCTGTATATCTGACTTTGCAATGAAATAAATGAATAAAGAAGTCTTAGAAGACATGGCCTGGGTAGAGGGGGGTTGTGAGTGCATGGTGTTTTTAGGTCTTGGATTGAAAATATTGAGTGAGGTGTTGAAGGACCTGAGGGTCATTTGTGGCGAGGCGTGGCAGGCAGGCTGCGAATCGGATGCTCGGTGCCTCTTTTCTGTTTGTTGAGCTCCGCTTGCCTCCCCTGATGGCTGCCGCTTGGCTTCGTTGGAGGCACAGTGTCCGTGTTGCTCTGTAGCAGTGGCCCAGGGGGATGGCGCTGAGAGTGACTTTTTTGTCTGAAGTGTCAGTGGGGACGATGTCTCTTAACAGCCTGCTACTTTCCAAGAAGCGACTGGAGTAGAATCAGTGCTGACCTAGTGTGTGTTCATCACTTTTCATTGGCTGGATAACAGAGTTGAATTCTTAAGGAAGGTGAGGAAGAAGTGATTTTAACCCAATTATTAGCAGTAGCTATCTTAGGTGCTGTGACCAACTAATTTTAAGAATACTCCAAAGAACTAAGCGCCCCCGCGATTGTCAGCAGATGCTTTGTTTCTGGGGGTTTGTGGGAGGCGGGAGAAGCTGCTGGCAGGACGGGGCAGAACAGCTTCGTGTGCTCACGTCTCGGCAAGGCGATTCCTCCTGAGATGCGTGCTTGCTCTTCCTGGGGGAAATTTGGCTGCGAGCTCGCAGGTCTTACATTTTTATCCACGGAAGTTGGCATCACACTGATTGAACTTGTGCCCCCATGGTAGACATTTTTGGATCATTTTAGTATCTTGCTTTCCAGAGCTGTTGCTTCTGTTTGCCGTCCAGTGTCTGACCTTTCCTTGGTCCTTCTCTGCTCCTCCGGCACCCCACGTGGCTGAGGAGGGCGAGCCCTGATGGTCTTGGCGATAGTCTGGACAGGGTGGCTCTGCGTGTGGGGCTCAGGCACAGGCTGCTCCAGCGCCTGGTGGGTCTCAGTCCTTGCAGAGTCCGGTAGCAACAGGACGAATCTTACTTAGGCCTTTGGGGTTGGAACGTAGGGCTCCTGCGGGTCCAGGGAAGGCTGCACTGGGGGGATGTGGAGTCCTTTGCTCCTAGACCTGACAGTTCTCGAAGCACTCCCTTCTTTTGACCTCTTTCCCCCTCCTTGAGAATTATCCTGGCAGGTCACCTGATGGGTTTGTCTGGGGTGTGGACCTCCCTTTCAGGCTGAGGGTGGCAGAGGCTGAAAGTGCGAGTTGCCTGTTGCTTTTGGAGCTGGTCAGGCCTCTGCTGGCTGCTTGCACACTGGCCATCTTACGTCACTGCCCGGAGTGCTTACACATGCACAAAGCAATTTGATGGGATAGGTGTTTGTCTTGTAAGTGAATCCTTAAGATAATTGGAAGGGAGAAGTAAAAGTGCAATTCTTGGACCCATCGTAGGTAGAGATTAATCTTTTTTTTTTCTTTTTAAATGCAGAGTGGACTCAGATTTCTACCAGGTATCTCCGAGAACAGTTGGCCAAGATTTCCGACTTTTACCACATGGCCCCCAGTACGAGCGATGGCCATGTGCCAATGCCCCCGGACGTGGAGCAGGCAATGAAGCAATGGGAATACAATGAGAAGCTGGCGTTTCACATGTTCCAGGTAAGCTGTGGGCCGGGCAAGGCGGCGTAGCATGCTCTAGAGATGAGGTGTGTCGCGTGCTGGTACAGATGTCACAGGGTATTACTTCTATTTAAGCCTAGAGGTTTATAGCTTACTCCGACTGAGGCTGTCCGGCATGCACCCACTGTCTGGGGGGTTGTCTTGTCAATCAGAACACCCTTTGTGACGCACGTGAGCCTAGCTGGGTTTTCTGGCGGTTCCAGTGTGCCTTTACTGACGCCAGTACATTCAGAGAGAGCCACCGGACAGCTTGAAATTATTGCTGCAATGTTTTAAAAAGACTTTTTGATACTCATTTTATTCTTAAGATGGAGAGAGATCCTCCATCTGCCGCTCTAATCCCCAAACGCCAACACCAACATGGGCATTTGGACTGCACTGTGCCAACGCCAGGAGCCTGAAACCCCATTCAGGGTCCTCACGGGAGGCAGGGGCTGAAGTCCCTAAGCCATCGCCTGCTGCCCCCCACCCCCCGGCTGCGCCTGAGCAGGAGGCTGCGTTTGGAAGTGGAGGAGCTAGGACCGGAGCCAGACTGTCGGGGGATGCGGGTCCCACGTGGTGACAGTCGCCTTGCCACATTCCTACTCGTATTTGAAGCTATTTGTGACTACCATGTCATACCTGGACACTGTCTATGGGGTCCAGCACAATAATCCAGCACACATACGTGGTGTAACCCGTCAAACCACACAGTAGGAGTTTTTATTTCCTGCCCTTTGTTGAGGGAGCCCAGCAGTTTTCTGATTATGTTACTTCTGTCTGATTATGTTGGTCTACACCGGTATCCTCACCTTTCCTTCCCTCCCTCTTCCTTCCAGCAGTCGTTGTTAGTACCTGACGTTTCTGAACACTGTTTTCAGGGAAGCACACTGGACCTGGCTCGACAGCTTATTATATGTATTTGTATCCAGCCCTCAGTGATGTTAGCTCTTTCAGTGCCATTAAATTCCTCTGTAATTGTGCTATTACATATGATTACTTAGATATCTCTTATTTTTGCAAAAGTGAATCTATTTATTTAGAGATGCCTGTGTACCGGTGCCCGCTTTCTCTCACCTTCACATCTTCACATCTTCAGTGGTCCAGCTGCAGGTGGAAATGCAGACAGGCTTGAGGGGAGGCGTGCAGGCGCCATCCTGATCACCGTGACCGGCAGGGGGCGCTCGCGCTCCTCCGTGCCTCCAGCCTTTGCTCCCTGGTGAGGAGCGGGGAGACACACTCGGTGCTGTGGTGTTGAGCGCACACACACTCGGTGCTTGATGTCCTGAGTGAAGAGGCAGTAGGTGTGTGTAATGTCTGGTCAGTCAGTAACTTTGAAGAGCTTGAAGTTGGGGAGACTGTGTCCCCCTTGGGAAGGAGGTGGTGCTGCTTTGTGGTCAACAGAAGCCACTCTTGCAGATTCTGATTCAGTTTATAACAGGAGAGCTTCCCTGCCTGCCCCGAGCTTTGCCTGGGCAGGGGAGTTCATCGGGTCTCGCAGTCGGCTTAGGGAGTTTTGGATGTTTCACGTTAGAATCGGGAACCCTGAAACCAGCCTTTCTTACAGAAAGCAGCTAGGCTCCGGGGTGGAGGAATGGAGTTGAAACATTCAGAAGGTCATCATATTTAATTTGCTGTTTTCTAAATCTGAACTGGACCCTCGTACATGCACTTGCAGGCAGAACAGGGGCCGGGGCCAGAAGCAGCATCCTTAGGAACAGGGAGAGTCAGATCCGTGCAGATTCATTGGCATCTAAAAAAAGATTCACTGATTTGAAAGGAAGAGTGACAGAGACACAGAGAGAGAGAGAGAGAGAGAGAAATATTCCAGCCGCTGACTCACTCCCTGGATGGTTTCAACAGCCGAGTCTGGGCCAGGCCGAAGCAGGAGCCAGGTCTCCCAGGCGGGTGTTGGGCTCCGAGCACTTGTGGCATCTTTGGCTTTGCCCGTTGACAGGGAGCTGGATAAGGAGCAGAGCGGCCAAGATTTGAATGCGTGCTTTGAGCTGAGGTGCTGTTACTGCAAGTGATGGCTTGCCCTGCTGAGACACAACATTGGTCACTGCACTTTTAATTAAAAAATTTCGAAGAATTAATATTGCTTACATAGTTAAGCGGGATGCACACCCATGTGGGTTTCCCAGTAGGATGCCAAAGACCCGAGAATGGAGGAAGGTGGCTGGGACAACTGTTCAAATTCATTTCCTCTGTGTCTGCAGCGGTGGGGAGGGAGGCGGCTACCCCTTACTGTCAAGTTCCAGCACCTGAGATAGTCCTGAGATACCGTCAGCTTTGGTGCACCAGGGTTGGGAAAATCTTCCCAAGGTCTATTGACTGAAAAAGCCCACCTTAGTGCATCCACAGGCCCAGGAAGATGTTGCAAAGATGGGCCAGGAGAATGTTCCAGCCTGTTCTGATTTCCGTGCTCTGCTGGCCTACATGAGCTGGCTGTCACGGCCCCTGAGTGTGCCTGCGTGTCCCCTGCACAGGCTTCAGCGGCTGAGAGGGCCCAGTCCTGACACTCCAAGATTGGACCCACAGATCGTGTGATTTTTTTTTTTCCTGTGTCCAGCGATCTAGTTGCAGAGTTGCCTAAGAACTTACCTGGGTGACCTGAGGCTGGACTCTTCTGTGTGCCAGCGAGGGCAGGGTCAGGTTCGCCAGCGGCAACACGGTCTGTCATCTTGTACTAGCGAACACACACAGACACGGTGGTTACAGATGCTGGGTCAGTTCTTGCTCCAGCCCTACCTCTTACACAAAATGATGGGTGCTATAGCCTAGTTGGGGTGATCTCTAATCACCCCCAGGTGTGCCCCCAGCCTCGGTGTGTGTTTTGTTTGATCTGTGCTGCGGCTTAGCTTGGTCTATCCCACATCCCTTCTGGTTTGTGCACACCTATGGGTGCTGAGTTTTAGCTCAGCCCAACCTACCCGTAGACTAGGCCACACGTATGCTGATGGGTGCTGCTGCATTGACCAGCCTTGCCTGCCTGCGGCCCTGGCTCTCATGCTCACCAGTGGGAGCTGTAGCCCAATAGTGGAGTATCGGAGTATCCACAGTTTGCTTACTAGGCCTGCTCCCAGCCCTGGATCGTGCACCTGCTAGTGGATAATGCAGTCCAACCTGATAGGACTTACATCCAGTCCCAGTACTTGCCAGCAGGTGCTGCAGCCTAGCCAGGTCTCGGAGGTGTGGCAGTGTAGCCCGGCCTGTACTGCCCCTGGACCACCATGCCTCTAGTGGAATGGCCATGCTCGCCAGTGGAAACATCAGCCCTGCAAGGGAGCCCCTGAAGTTCTGCTACCAGGCCGGCTCCCAGCCCTGGCTCTGGTGCTGCAGCCCAGTCTGAGATGGCCCATCCGCAGTCGCCACATATTCCAGCAGGTACTACAACCTTGCTCAGCCTGGCCTGCCCCCAGTCCTAGTTGTTGCCAGTATATGTAGCTACCTAGCCAACCCCACAACTTTCATGGGAACTGGCAGGTGTTGTCCAACTTGGCCTGGTCTGCACCCCATCCTTGCTCTTGTGTCAGTGTGTTATGGATTGGCCCAGGCCGACCTACCTCCAGACCTGGTTCACACCTATGCTGCTGGGTACGGCAGTCCAGCCTAGCCTGGCCTGGTGAGTGCGCCCCCGTGGGAGCTGCGCCTAGCAGAGTTCCCCAAGTTTCCTGGTAAGGCCTGATCCCAGCCCTGCATCTCCCATATGCCCATGGATGCCTTGACCCTCTTGGCATGGTCTGCCTTCGGCCCTTTCCTTCACTTGTGCTAGCAGGAACTATATCTGGGCCCCACCCAGCCTCCTCAGAGCCCTGGCTCCTGCAAGTGTCAGGTGGGTTCCGTGGTCCAGCCTGGCTTAGTCGGTCACGACTCACAGCTCTCTATGCCAACTGGTGGGTGCTGTAGTCCCATGGAGGTGAGCTCACAAGTCCTGTACAGAATCTTCTCCCCAATCTGGCTCTCTCACGATCTGGTGGATGCTGTAATCCAGCCCGACAATGGCCCACTGCCTATTGTAACACTCATGCTAGGTACAGCAGCCTATCCCAGCCAGGCATTCCCACCTGCCCCAGCTTTTGTGTGGTGGGCAATACTATCTCGCCCAGCCCGGGTCTCCCAACATAGGTGGGTGTTTCTCTCTCCTAAACCACTCTCTCCCAGCTCTCTTGCCAACCTTAAGTGCAGTGGTCTGTTCTGTGGGAAACCCCAGAACTCATTCTTTCAAACACGCCCTCCACTTCTACCTCAATTCATTCCCAGACCTGCTTCCCTGGCCCACCTGAAGTATCCCCCCAGGAGGCTGGGTGGCGTGTCCTGGCCTGCCGTTCCCTGTCTTTAAAGAAATAAAACAACAAAATTAGGATAAAAATAGAGTTGGCAGCTCTGCTGGCATGCTGGCATATTTGGCATAACCAGGCCCAGAGTACCCTCCAAGTGCCAGCTGCCTTCCTCCCAGCAGCGTGACACTCGCCTAGGTACAAGGCCACCTCAGCGTTCCCTGCAGCTGGAGGTAACTTTTGATTCTTTGTGTGACTCTCGTAACTTACTGCAGTGTTGCTTTATTTAAAAATGCTTTTTTACATACTCGTTTAAATTGGCAAATAGGAATAATATGTGTGTTTTAATTTATAGTTTACTTGGTAGATCTTAACTTTTTAAATTGCCATTTTTATGTGATTCATCTTAGGATCACTTTAACTCTGTTTTAAGTTATTTCATTATTTATAAAGATTTATTTTTATTGGAAAGTCAGATTTACAAAGAGAAGGATCTTCCATCCAGTGGTTCACTCCCCAAGTGGCTGCCAGGGCCAGAACTCGGCTCATCTGCAGCCAGGAGCCAGGAGCTTCTTCTGGGTCTTCTAGATGGGTGCAGGATCTCAAGGCTTTGGGCCATCTTCAACTGCTTTCCCAGGCCACAAGCAGGTTGCTGGATGGGAAGTGGAGCAGCCAGGGCATAAACTGGCACCCATATACATGGGATCTTGCCACATGCAAGGCAAGGACTTTAGCCACTAGGCTACGACACCAGGCCCTTGTTTATTTGTAAAGCATTTATTTCATTGAAGGCAGTTACAGAGAGAGAGGTCTTCCTTTTATTACTTCATGCCCTAAATCATTGCAGCGGCTAAGGGTTATGCCAGGCTGAAGCCAGGAGCCAGCATATTCTTCCTGCTCTCCCAGAGGTGTGCTGGGGCCCAAGGATTTCAGCCGTCTTCTGCTGCTTTCCCCAGCACATCAGCATGGAGCTTGATGAGAGATGGAGCAGCCAGGACTTGAACCACTGCCCGCATGCGACGTCGGCACTGCAGATGGAGAAAGGCAGATAATCATTTGTAATTGAGCACAATTTTCCAAAAAAAATTGTTTTCTTGGATTATTTAAGGAAGGAATGCTGGAGAAACATGAATACCTGACGTGGATCCTGGATGTTTTAGAAAAGACCAGGCCAATGGACGATGAGTTCCTTAAGCTCTTGCTGCCATTGATGCTGCAGGTACGTGCGGTCCCGGTCACCTGAGCCCTTGGTTCCACTGGTCAGAGGTACGTGCGATCACAATGATAGGTGAGTCGAGCTGGAAAAGAAGGAAAAGTCCTTTTGAAATCCAAGGAGAACGAGTCTCGGATGCTGGAACGTGTTAACCAACATGCGGCTTCTACCAAGTTTTAGGGGTCGTACACGTTGAAAATATTCCGAGATTGTCTCTGCCTGTTTTTCTTAGGTGGGGTGCCGTTGATTGCTCCCTCTCTGAGCTGAGCAAACATCTCCCCGGTACTTCTAGTCCTGGGATCATCTGGGTCCCCCCGGGGTGATGTCACCACACCCTGCAGTAGCCGGTGGCCACGCGGTCTCTTGTACTGATGATGTGACCTGTGTGAACTGAGATGTGCTTTAAGCATAAGATGCACACTGGGTTCCAAACTTGATATCCAAAAAAAAAGTGTGTGACATCAATAATTTTCATTTTGGATATATCGGGCTGAATGAAGATTTCCTGGAAAGTAGAAATAAACGGTACATTTGTTTTGGTACAGAGCGTTTCTGGAATCCATTCCGTTTTCTCATAATGTGTTTTCATGTACTTTTAAAACTTATTTGAAAACCAGAGAGAGATACAGAAGCAGTGAGAGGGCTGTGCTGCCTGCGGGGGCGCTCCTAGATTGCACACAGTAACTAGGATTGATCTTGGCTAGCTCTTCTCCCTCTTCCATGTGTGTCCCAGCCACCCAGGTGCTTGTGTGGGCGACTGCTACGTGCCTGTTAGCAGGTGTGTTAGGATGCTGTAATCGAGCGCCGAGCTCAGCCTTGAGCACAGGTGCTGCGGTGTGATGTATATGTGTCCCCAGTGGCCTCTTCATGACCGCACCAAATGTCACCCCCTCCATGCGGGTTGGAAAAACCCCTTATTTATGTGGACTTCAAAACTTTTCCCTCCAAAACCAAAAGCAAAAATATGTATTTTTACATTTAACTTGATGATGAACTTTTGAAGTACCTTTGGTAGTTTTTTTGAATGGCTGCTAGAAAGCTTCCCATTGTAAGCGTGAATTGCGCATTTCTGCTGTCCAGTGTAAGTTCATGCAGCGTCCTGGGAGGGGTTTCTTGGGCGAAGCTTGGGGTGACTGACGCCTGACGCCTTTCTCGCTCTCAGTATTCAGATGAGTTTGTACAGTCGGCCTACCTGTCCCGCCGCCTCGCCTACTTCTGTGCCCGGCGTCTCTCCTTGCTGCTCAGCGACAGCCCCAGTCTGCTGGCTGCCCACTCCCCTCACATGATGATTGGACCGAACAGCTCGAGTATCGGGGCCCCGAGCCCGGGCCCCCCCGGCCCTGGCATGAGCCCCGTTCAGCTGGCCTTCTCGGATTATCTTTCCTGTGCGCAGCATGGTCCCCTGGTTTATGGACTTAGTTGTATGTTGCAGGTAAGTACGTGACCCTTGCTTGTTGGATGGTATGACTAAGTGTGGGGCACTGTTGGCTTGGGCATGGTCTTTTCAACCTCTATGTTGCAGTTCCATTTTCTCTCACCCAAGTGATGTACACTGGAGTTTTAGGACTTTGGTTTCTCTGCTTTGACTCCGATTCGTGTATGTGTGTAGAGAGAATTCTTGGCAGTAGTCCAATAAGCAGTTCAGCCAGCAGTGTTTCAGGGAACTCAGAATAAATCAGCTGTGAGATTGGAGTTTTGGGAAGAAGACTTTGCGAGGTGGCATTCCTGCGCTGCCAGAGTTCATACCCAGACACGGTTGCCTCTCTTGGTGTGTCTCCCCGCTGTTGATTCGATGAACGTCGTCGTGCGTGGCCTTGGCCGTCTGGTACTGTGCTGGTTGCTGGGCTGATGCGATGAGGACTGAGGTGCACGCAGACCCTATCAAATCACGGTGCAGGGCTCAGCTCACCTAGTCTGAGCTTTCCCCATGTCCAACATCTTGCTCGGTTGCCTGGAAATGACAAGAGGGTTGGGGATTCTGAGCACACGGCCACCCTTTGGGCAGAGTTTTCTGCCATTTTGAAAAGACAAGATCATACTGTGGGGGACTTTGCAGATAATGACAAGGACTCGTAGGGCTGCACAGAAGGCTGAAGAGAGAGCTGTCGTAGGTTAGGTTAAGCTAAGGTTGAGGGAGACAAGTTTTTTTCAGCTCTTACCATGTGTTAAAGAGAATCGAATGAAACTAAGAAGCTGATTTTGGCAGAAAGATCAGCCTGTGAAAAGGCATCAGAAGTCATGTGTGATGGGGTCAGGGAGGAGATGCCCTTGGGCCTGATACTTGTTTGGGATGTCACCAGAGCTCTAATGCTGGAGCAAGACACTATGCAGGGAAATTGGTGGGAGCCGAAAGATTGGAAACAGGGAGATAAGGCAAAGAAATCCGTTCAGAAGTGTCTTGAACAATCTTGGACACTTTTATCCTGTAGGACCTTTTGGTGCGTAAGCTCAAGGGGGTGCTGCGTGTCTACTTCTAAAGATTGATAGTTGACCAGATGTGCGGATTAGAGGCATGTAAGCGCCCTGACTGGTGTATGGATGTCAGTGGCTGAGAGGTAGACTGAGGGCAAGTCCGTGGAGAAGGCCAGCAAAGGTGGCCTCACTAGAGAGTGCCAACGAGACATTGTTGCTACAGAAGTGAAGGTGATGGGGGAAAAGGATCACACCTTCATGATTTTGTTATATTGGATAATAAAGATCACAGCAGGATACTGTTCCGGGGTGTAAATTACATTGTTGTCGGTCCTCAGAACCCAAGAGCAGAGAAGTTACTCAGAAAACTGAGTCTACATTCAAGCCCTGGGCTGAACTGGGCTCTGCAGAGAGCTTTACAAGGGATCAGCCTTCTTCCCGAAAGTCCTTAGGTTCAAGGACAACCTAAGGGTCACTGATGGTCGGCGTGATGCTGTTTGCGTTCAAGGGCGGGGAAGCGGCAGATGAAGCTGGGTTCCGGGGTGCCGGGGGAGGAGGGGAGTGTACCACCTTTTTGGAGCTGCATGTCTGAAGGGAAGGGTAGAGGCAGAGGTGACTGCTGGTTCAGCAGAGGTTTTGGTGGGTGATGGTGAAGGAATATGTAAGGTCAAGGACAAACCGGGGGAGGTGAGATCAAGAGTTGAGTGTCCTGGTGTGGGAGGCTTTGCAATCAAGAACAGGGAGGCAAGAAGCGCACTCCATCCTGGGCAGAAGGAAGGCAGCAGGGATGTGGGCCAGCAGCGACTGAGGCCTTCCTGGGGCTCCATGCCTTGGCGTGCTTGACCCCTGCCATCCGCCCCTGTGGCTCAGTCTTAATATCACCTTCTTAACATAAAGAAGTATTACAGCCATTCTCAGGGCTCACGCAGTGTGCTGTTGAGTCACAGCATGATGGGGAAGGTATGTTACAGAGTAAGTTCAGGCCTGATTTTTAACCCTTGCTCTACCACCTAACAGCTGCGGCCTGACAGGTCTCCCCACCTGTGAGTGGTGGATGGTGACAGTTCTCATGTCCTCAAATCCTGGGGATCCAGGCGAGTGGGTGCCTCACGGAATGGAAACTGCAGCCTTCATGTTGAGGAGGGGGCAGCCTCGCATGTGTGCTGGTTTCACTTCGCCTCTGTGGTTCTTTCACCCCTGTGGTGAAATTGGGGAATAATGAGGTAGCTGTGATTTGATAACATATAGTACTGGTTGAGGTGGAAAAAAAGTCGAGAGCCTTGGGCAGGTGTGAGCAGGTTACAGTTTGTAGGCCATATTCTGCCCACAAGCTTAGTTCTAGGTTTCTTTCTTTTTTTTTTTTTGTAAGATTTATTTATTTTTGTTGAAAAGACAGATTTACAGAGAAAAAGAGAAAGATCTTTTGTCCACTGATTCACTCCCTAAGTGGCTGCAGTGGCTGGAGCTGAGTCGATCTGAAGCCAGGAGCCTCCTCTGGGTCTCCTACGCAAGTCCAGGATCCCAAGACCTTGGACTGTCCTTCGCTGCTCTCCCAGGTCACAAGCAGGGAGCTAGAAGGGAAGCGGAGCAGCTGGGACCGGTGCCCGTATGGGATCCTGGTGCATGCAAGGCAAGGACAATCATTAGGCTATTGCACTGGGTCCCAGGTCTAGGTTTCAAAATTCTTCATGGGTCACACAAAATGTTAGAAGCAAAACATGATTGACACTGGGAGTGCAAAGTTGAAACAATTCCCTTCTATCTTACTGCAGAAAAACACGTGCCAGTCCCTGAGTTGGGGACTTCCCACGTTTGGGAAGCCAGCTCTTCCACCGTTATTTCAGATACGTTGTCTTTTTTGTCTTTATTCCTTTGAATGTAGAGCCTCAGAAGTGAGTTGTCTAGTTCCATCTTATGTTTTCAATTTGATGAATGAAATAGCTCTGTGACTGCATTTGTGTGATGGCTCCCACTTTCCTCTACCAGAAGCTTAGCTAACAGTTGATGGTATTCCTGAATTTCTGAGCAGTTCTGTTTCTTCCCGTTGAAATTGATCATTTTCATTCTTCTTTTTCCCCTTGCGGAGTTCCCAGTGGAGTGAGATGCCCATTTTAAGCTCACTGGTCAGACACAGTGATCAGGCTCTGGTGTCGTCGTCCTTTTCACTGGGAAGCTGTGGTTACGCTGTTCTTCCTCTCAGTAACTGGCTTGCTGTTTCCTTTGCAGATTGTCACTCTGTGTTGCCCAAGTGCCTTGGTGTGGAATTACTCCACGAATGAAAACAAGAGCGCCAACCCAGGTTCACCCCTGGATCTGCTACAGGTGGCCCCCTCGAGCCTCCCCATGCCGGGGGGGAACACAGCCTTCAATCAGCAGGTACACTTTATATGTCAGTGTGTTGGTTGTGGGGGTGGGGGGTGATTTCATTCTTGGGTGGGCACCAGGGCACGGTGAGCACAAAGCACAAGTTTAGCATCTCAGATGCCCTGATGTCTTTCACAGCCCTGCCCTCTTCCTCCCCAGGAGACCTTGGCGATGGGCAGTACAGTTCACGGAGCTGCTCTGTTTCTCACCCACTTGTTGGCTAGTCCACGCTAAGTTACAGTACTAGTACATGCCCCATAGTAGTAGTTGTAATATTTAGCTGTTGTTATGTGTTCTTACTTTTGTGGGGTTATTTTGTATTGTTTTTAAAGTTTTATTTGTATCTGAAAGGCAAAATTACATGGAAAGGAAAGGGAGAAACAGCGGTAGGAGAGAGAGAGAGATCTTCCATCCACTGGCTCATGCCCAGGTGCCCGACCACTGGCTCACGCCCAGGTGCCCGTCCACTGGCTCATGCCCAGGTGCCCGTCCACTGGCTCATGCCCAGGTGCTCGTTCACTGGCTCACGCCCAGGTGCCCGCAGTGGTTCTGGCTGAGTCAGTCTGGAGCCAGGAGCTTTTTCCAAGTTTCCTACCTGGTCCAGGGTCCCAACGACTTGAGCCATCTCCTGCTGCTTTCCCAGGCATAGGCAGGCAACTGGATTGGGAGTAGAGGAGCCGGAAGGCAAACATGCTGCCTTAGGCCGAAGCTTAGCCTGCTGCACCATGACGCCAGCCCCTGGCCTACCCACTTGAAATACCTGTGGAATCTGAATCGTGAGGTTGTGACTAAAATAAGATTCTTCGACCAAGAAGGTTTCTAAAATTAGTAAAACATTACTCGTTACTTTGATGCATGGAAGAGTGAGTCACGTGACCTTTCTATGTGGACTCCAACAAATCTTTGTTATTGATGTTGAAGCACTACTGTGAATTAAAAAAAATGCGCCTCTTGGGTACCAGCCTGCATCTCCTACAGTCTTGTCAAGATTGTAGTTCACCATAGGATTCTCCACTCATGCGGAAAAGCTTGACATGATTTAGGAAGGCACGGGGGCTTTCCAAGCACAAGTTAATTAGAAGTGATTATCTTTCAGGTTCGGGCAAGGATTTATGAGGCAGAGCAGCAGATTAAACAAAGAGGCCGTGCGGTGGAAGTGCGGTGGTCTTTTGACAAGTGCCAAGAGTCAACAGCAGGTAGGAGTGCGTGTGAGGACCTAGCCTTCTGAATGTCGGGCTCGAGGCCGTGTTGCTGATTCCTGTAGACTGCTCTACCCGAATAAACAAGCTTCCGACAGAGCCTCCTGGTGAATTCTTCAGTTTACAGCATTTAGATTGTCAAGTTTGGTTTTGTTGCTGATGCTACGATGGCAAATGCTGGCAATGATAAATTTGTTCATAGTATAGGACTTTTGCCTCACATGATGCTTTTGTGCTGTTCGGTCTTCATTTGTCTCTAACCATGTTCTTCAATTTCTCATCCAGGGGTGACTATTAGTCGGGTTTTGCACACACTGGAAGTCTTGGATCGTCACTGTTTTGACCGGACGGACTCCAGCAATTCAATGGAGACACTTTATCATAAGATCTTCTGGGCAAACCAAAGCAAAGATAGCCAAGAGGTAATCTTTCGTTGTGCTGCCTTTCATCTTCTCAATGAATTCAAACCTATCTCAACACTTTTGTGCGTGGTGCTGTGCCTTTTGACTGCACACACTTAGAAATCTTTGAGTTAAAATGACTCACCGTGTTAAGCATGCATTGGGCTGCTGTGCACCTTGGTGTATTGATTTCAACTTGGCTCCTTTACCATCGTCTCCGTTATTTTAGTGTGAGCAGAAGATCCTTCTTTATCTAGTGCCTGGAATCCTATGTGGTTTGCCTTTAACTGGGAGCAAGAGAGGTTGCTGTGTTTTAACATGTAGCACAGCAGAGGGCAGTGCGTGAATATTTGCAGTCATGGTCTTTGAGAAAGCTTCAGGCCCTTCTCCAGCAAAGCAGAACCAGCAGAAGCAAATGTTGAGTGTGCGTATTTACTTTCAGTAGGTGTGTCTACAGACTTGCGGTTGGGATTCATCTAGATTTGTGGGGCCAATGAAATCATGAAATCTGTCCTTGCCAAGGCAACTGCAGGTGGGCTTTGAAATTTGGTGTCTACAGCAGGTGGATTTTTAAAAAAGGCTTATTTTTTTTTATTGGAAAGGCAGCTATACAGAGAGGAGGAGATACAGAGAGGAAGATCTTCCATCTGGTGGTTCACTCCCCAAGCGGCCACAATGGCTGGAGCTGAGCCAATCTGAATCCAGGAGCCAGGAGCTTCTTCTAGTTCTCCTATGTGGGTGCAGGGTCCCAAGGCTTTGGGCTGTCCTCCACTGCTTTCCCAGGCCACAGGCAGGGAGCTGGATGGGAAGCAGGGCTGCTGGGATTAGAACCGGCGCCCATATGGGATCCTGGTGCACTCAAGGCGAGGACTATCACACGGGGCCCTACAACAAGTGTGCTAAGCCCTTCAAGGGAACACATTACTTTACTGATATGTAAGATCCTGTGGTTTGTTTTATTTTTAATTTTTTGAAAGCTGGGTTTTGGGAAATTTGCATGTGGAATAGAGAGGTGAAGCAACAGACACAACAGCCCCGCACCTGCACGTCAGCCTACCTTGGTGGGCACCTGGCACCTGCACCTCAGCCTGCCTTTGTGGGCACCTGGCACTTGTTGCTATTCTGGAATAACTTATGGTTATTGCCTTGCTTCTAGAAGATGTGGCTGATGATTCTTGGTGCCGGGTAGGGTCAGAATGTTACAAAGGTGTAAATGAAGTGCAAGACTCCCCAGAAATGCTTCCTGCATCCATGGGCCGAGTTGGTAGGAAGTCCTGGTAATAGTGTGCTTATCGAAGAAGGCAGCGTGGCACCAGGCTTGCATGGCTGCTTGTTTATAGTAACAACTTCCTCAGACAACCAGCTTCAAAAGAACCGAGGCTTCTGAAAGTACACGGAAGTGAGTGAACCGGAACGAAGGTAGGGATTCCCAAGTTGAGGATAGCCGAGTTAGAGTAAGCTTCTCACCCCTAGTGGAGTGTCATGGTGAGGGCGTTACCAAGCCTTAGGCTGAAGCTCTGATTGTCTGCTGAACAAAGTTGCCGACTTTGCAGCTGCTTCCTCACAGAACCATGGAGGTGTAAGTTACCCGCAAGCCCCTTCAGGAGGGAGGGATGGTCCTTCTGAATCGGAGCATGCTGCTTGTCAAGCTTGAGACACAGGGAGATACTCTCAGGACATTGCTCCATTTAGACCACATTTTTAAAAACCCTTTTTGTCTAAGTTTTTGTTTTTTTAAAGATTTACTTATTTTTATTGGAAAGTCAGATATACAAAGAGGAGGAGAGCCCGAGACAAAGATCTGTCCTCTGGTTCACTCCCCAAGTGGCCACAATGGCCAGACCTGCGCTGATCCAGACCCAGGAGCCAGGAGCTTCTTCCACGTCTCCCACTCAGGTGCAGGGTCCCAAGGCTTTGGGTCGTCCTCGACTCCTTTCCCAGGCCACAAGCAGGGAGCTGGAAAAGAAGCGGGGCAACTAGGATTAGAACTTGACGCATGCAAGGCGAGGACTTAAGCTGCTAGGCTACCATGCTGCGCCCTACCTTTTTTTTTTTTAAGGTTTTATTTATTTATTTTAAAGTTAGTTTGATACAAATTGGGGAGAGAGATAAAGAAAGAACTCTTGTATATATTTTTTCACTCCCCACATGGTCACACAGCCAGGGCTGGACCAGGCTGAAGCAGGTGTCAGGACCTTCTCATGGTCTCCTGCATGGTGAAGGGCCTCAAGTACTTGGTCATATTGTGCTGCTTTTCTGGGCACATTAACCGGGAGCAGGATCAGATATGGAACAGCCAGGATTTGCAGCAGTGTCAATATGGGATGTCAGCGTCTCGGGCTGTGGCTTCAGCTACTATGCCATGAAACCTGCCCCTTCTCTTAATTTCACCATGGGCATAATTATTCTGCAATAACTGATACAGAAATTATAAATAAACATGAGTGGACGTAGAGTGTGAGAAAATGGCAGTCGAAGTGTATCATTGTGGAAAAAAACTTTCGAGCCCATACCTTTTGGTTTTTTGTAAAACGCATCTGCCATGACCTTTTCCAAGACCTCCTACGTATGCTTCAGGTTTGTACTGAAATAAACAATTCCTTAAGCTGAGTGACGGAGTTCAGCAAGAGACCTTTGGAGTTGGCTGGTCTCAGCCTGCCTAGATGGGCTTTCAGGGTGCAGGGTGGTGCAGACCAGTAGAGGGCGACAAGTGCCTGCTGCTGAATCCTGATGTGCTGGGGAGGAGTTGCAGCCATGCTTCATTGCAGAGGTCTTACTGACGGTTGGCTCAACTCCAGAAGGGTTTGACGTGAGTTGGTGCTGGCTCTGTGGTTCGTGCCAGGCAACTTCGAGATGTCCACGACAAGTCGAATTACAAGATGCGATTGTTTTAACGTTAAATGTGTTTGAGGTCCATATGTAGTTTTTCATAATACTGGTATCCATGAATTTTCCAAGGACCCCTGAGAATGTCTTCTGAGTCACTAAAACTGCCTTTGAGATGCGTCATTGAGACTGGGTACCTTAAGGTGGGCAGAAAGAACACCTGAACAAGCAGACCCTTCTATAATGCTTGCTATGAGTTTATGAAGTATGGCCGTGACATCTGTGTGTGTGTGATATACAGATGGACATGTGTGCAAACACAAACCTTTACCTTTCTGCCGCTTGAAGGATTCCTGTGTGCCCGAGGTCAGCATCTCTGGCCACTGTTGCAGTTTGCTGTGTGAGCTGCCGCACTGTGCTGGTCCTGGTCCATTTGGGGCCTCGGAACCCCTATAGATCCAGTTGGCATGGGGCAGTGGTCCTGTTCATTTCTCAGGAGCCCCCGGGTATGTGCAGAATGAGGATGCTCCGTGTGAATCCGTTTGCGCACGTTTGGCTGTGAGCGGTTAATGCAGCGTCCCTCAGTTTTGTGTTGAGAGTCGCGGAGCTGTTTGTGGTGAGGAATGTCAGCTGTAAGGGCCTGGGACTATGATTCAGAAACGCACCTCACTTTTTCAAATGTACTTCTCCTTTTCTGGTTTTGTAATTGATCTCAGACAGCATGATAGATCATCTGTAGCAGCTGCGGGCAGGAGGTTTCTGCTTAGCGGAAGTCATGTCTAGATATGGCAGGGCCCCTGGTTGCACATCCTGCTTCCCCATATCTGTTTGGGAGCGTTTGAACTTCACCCTGAATTCCTTTTCCCCTGGAACTGGGGAAATCTTGTTTTCTCTGTTTCCTGGTAGAGGACACATGGGACAGGTCCAGGGGTCAGGATGCCAGCTGCGGGGATGTTCTGCCCATTTTAGTATTTGCTGGAGGCTGTGGGCATCTGAGGCCGGGCCCCATGCTGTGGTTCTGACGGAGCCGAGGCACTGACTGGCGCTCCAGGGTGCGCCGTGCCAGGCCGGGGACTGCTTGCTTTGACCCCACACGGCCTGGGTTTCCTTCACCCTGTCCCTTCCAATGCCCCCAGTCACCCATATCCTCAGCTACTGCTGCAGTGTCACAACGTGAGTACTCCAAAGAAGGTGAGGGAGGGCGTGTGTAGTGTGCCTCTGGATGTGTGCCACGTGACTTTGTGTTGCACGGAGTGTGAGAGGTGAAAACTTTAGCACATGCAGATCCAGGCTGTCACACCCTGTCATGCAGCCACAGGGCGTGTGTGGGGGCGCAGGGCACGGTGAGCAGCAGGCAGGCCTTCACTGTCGGAAGCTCGCAGGGCCGGTGGCATTGATGTGGTACTTGCAGCACCACTCTGGCCCGATCCTTGCCCAAGCTGAAGGCACTGGGCAGGCGTGGGCCGCGTTCCCTGAGGTGCCTGCCACTTTCCAGCTGCTGGCACTTGTGTCCAACACTCTCATGGGTAGTATTTCAGAGTCACTTCCGTCAGTAGGGCAGGCAAGCCCGAATTGCCTATGGCAGGCTCACTGTGAGGATGTAGGGGTGCTTGGATACCAAGTCCCCACAGCTCTGTCGCTGGGGAGCTTGATCCTGAGTGACGAGACCAAGGGCAGACCCACAAACCCACAGCCTGCTTCCTCCCTCTTGGTGCCTGTCCCTCCTATGGTGGGGGTGGAGGTGGAGCAGCTGCATTTTGGGTGCCTTGGGGACAGGGGCGGAAGGGAAGGTCTGAAGGGTGGCAGGAAGCGCCGTCTTTTCACTTCTGTTTCTGGGCTCCCTGGAAGTACGCTTTACCCTGAGTAATGAAAGGGCAAGGCCAGCTGTGCTGGAGTAAGGCCTCAAATAATCTACAGCCACATCTGTCTTTCACCTGCTGTGCCCTATAGCTCCCTCTGCCCCAGGCCTGCAGACAGAGTGTTACTCTGTGTGTGTCCACGTTTTATGCTTAGCATGTTCCTAAACAGTGATCTGAGTAGTGTGGTGTGTGTGCGCTTAATAGTTAATTAATAGTTATTATTAATAATGATTATTATTAATAATAATGATAATTACTACTTTTATTAATTACTTTTATTACTACTTTTATAATTAATAATAATTTATAATTTATAATTAATAATTAATAGTTATT